GTTGGTCAGATCGCCTGCCTAGTATTGTAAGAACAGCTAGCAGGAGGCCACCAGTTCAAATCTGGTAGAAGGCAGCCCTTTTGAGAGTTTTACAGGTGTTGGGGTGTTGGAATGTTGGAATACTCGGTGCCCAAGTCAAAGGCTTTACTCAGGTAATTTGTAATCGTATCAAAAACACGTAGATAACATCGATTTCTGTGTGATTGGACATTATGACAGATGGAATCACCTAAATCCCAAAACAACCTCAACCAACCAAACACCATCACGCCTCCTGTCAACCCCAGTCTCATTAAACTAAAAGCGGGCCTCACGGGGAATTGAACCCCGGACCTCTCGCACCCAAAGCGAGAATCATACTACTCTAACCATAAGGCCGCTATGATTGCAGACAAACATTATCCATAATGAAGTGTGACACGACTTCATGATTGTTATAATAACTAGCACTAATTGTTATTAATATTTGCCGTGTATTTGACATCATACCTTCATCAGGAACGTGTGTGAAATAATGTTTGTGTCACTATCAAGAGGAATGAGAAACATATTCCGAAACTATCTTTTACAATTTGAAATGTACAATCTACATAATACGCTTCCTAAGTCCGGTTAGAATTCAAATTGAACCAAAGAATTGTCTGAAAACCCCCCACCACAAAATGTCCAAACCAAACAACCAAGTCCACATGGACATTTGCGATCTACTCAACTTGAAAGTCCAAGAACAGTCTCAAATGATTGGAGTGCTCGAAAAGGAGATTTCGGCGTTTCGCGAGACGCAGCGGAGGAAGGAGAAGCAGTTTGAAGATTTTAGAGTGGATGCTGCGAAGGCGCTTGCGAAAGCTGTTCAGGAAGGAAGGGAGAGTCTTGCGAAGGTGAAGGAGGATGCTGGGGCGGAGGCCAGTCGGTTGAAGGCTAGTGTTCGGGATTTGGAGTTACAGGTATGAGTTGTTTGTGTGATTGAAGTGTATTCTGATGGATTCCTTTTGGTTAGCTATTTAAGGAGAAGCTCAAGACGAAGCAGCTCGAAGAAAGTCAACGAAAGATCTTGTCCCAGTTCACATTGACGCGACAGCAGGATGTTGACACGATCGTCGAAGACTTGAACCTCCTCAAGACAACCATCTCAAAATCCTTATCCCATCGTCTCAAATCCACTCAATAAATATCTATAAAAACCGTTCCGAAGTATTTTTATTTATTTGGCGCCTTCAATGACGAAGAAACAGAACCAAAATTACATCTTATTCCACACATAAAAACAGGACTCAATAAACTATGCAAAACACTTGACATAATTTAGTTCTGCTTTCTACGGAAGGAGCAACCCTCAGTCAAACGGGCCTTTCCTCCAGTTGGCTGGGAGAGAACGGTAGCACATCCACCACAGATAACAACGGTCTGAGCGTGGCTGAAGACGGTGGTGATGTTGAAGCATCCTTTTTTTTGCACAGGTTAGTTACGGGGGGGAAGGGAAGCAGATGGGGTGTAGCCTTACCAGAGCACTTAACGTCCATGAAGAAGGAGTTTGGGCTCTGCACAAGTCTCTTGAGCTTGTGGGCACGCTTCTCGGAGGACTCGAGTGGGTTGAGGAGGTCGATGGCGAGCTGTTTGATGGATTTAGTGACTGCGCCTCAATTGTTGGTTTGATGTGGATCTGTTTGAGACGTCTCTCCTTCAGCACTTCCTTTTCCCTCCCTCTCATAACTCCAGATCCCGTTCATAACTTCGATACTTTGATTCGAGTAGGGTTTGAGGAGACGGCGGTTTCGACGATCGGTGTTGAGGAGAGGTCGGCATCTGAGGTGGTACTCACAGTCATTTTCCTAAGGACAA